GAACTACAGGCACGTGTTACCACGCCCGGCTAATTTTTGATTTATGTAGAGATGAGGTCTCACCAAGTTGCCCAGACGGGTCTCGAACCCGCGGGCTCGGGCAATCCACTCACCTCAGCCTCCCAAAGGCGCAGGATTACAGGCTGAGCCACCGAGCCTGGCTACCAGAATCATTTTTAAATAGCCCAAATATCTTTAAAAGAAAAAGCGAAACCTGTTGCATAAAGAGCCTATCTAAGAGACTCTTCTGTCTCCCTTGTCCCTATCATGGACTCATAAACCTATCCAGTATGAGAACTTAGAGAATACTAGAACAGAGGAGTCTTTGTGTTGACCCTTTTAAGTGAGTGACCTTTTATATTATATTCATAATAAATATGGATGCAGGTAATTACTAGTGATATAATTCTGTTTGTCCTTCCCCAACCCCTTCATTTTGTTTTAGGGTTTTTTGTTGTTTGTTTGTTTGCTTTTGCAGAACTTTTCACAGATGCTGCTGAGACTGAAAAAATGGCCAAAAGTTTGGAAGATTCTGAAGGAGTTTATTTTGTTCCATCTTTTAGTGGATTACAGGTATTTTTTTTTTAACTCAATGGCAATTCCAAGCATTTTTCTCCTCCTAGCACACTCATAATTCTGTATCTGCCACACTGTTGCCTGAAAATTTGGACACTGAACAGAACTAAGATGAAAGGTGAATTTGAAGGCTGAGAAGTTGTGCTCTGACATAGCATGAATTCCATGAGAGAGCACAGCATCTCCTCAGTGTGACCCTGCTGGTTTGGCTTGTGCCTATAGAATTCATCTGGCTTCTGCTTAGAACTCTGTCCCTGTGGAACCGAAGAGTTGGCAGTTTATCATAGAAGTTTTACATAAGACCTAGGATTACCTTATCATGACCAAAAATAGCCATTTCCCACTGTGGGGGAAATATATCAGTAAATTGGCATTCTTTATTTAGAGAAAGTTTTGAGAATTACAAAAATAATGTCAACATACATATAAACACACACACACACACACACACACACACACACACAGGAAGTTTTGAGAATTATAAAAATAATGTCAGCATACATAAACCACACACAAAAACACACACATATATTTTGCAGTTATGTATGTGTAAGCTTTATGAATTTTTTTTAAAGTCAAAATCTCTTTTCTTTTTTTTTTTGAGTTGGAATCTCACTCTGTTGCCCAGGCTGGAGTCCAGTGGCATGCTCACAGCCATCAATCTGCCGGGCTCAGGCGATCCTTCTGCCTCAGCCTTTCAAGTAGCTAGAACTACAGGCAGATCACCACACCTGGCTAATTTGTTTATTTATTGTAGAGATGAGGTCTCACCACGGGTGGCAAAATCTATTTTCATAAGTTGTTTTGTGGTGAGGTGTTGGTTACTTTACCTAATCAAAAAGGGAGCCTAATATAAGACTTTGTTTTGGAACATTTTACTTTGTATTTAATTGAAAAATTTGTGATACTGCCTTTAATTTTAGAACATTACAAAGATTTATTTAAAAGCTTCAAGTATATTATTATGAACAAAATTACTTTTTTGGGAAAACTTATACCAGTGCTTTTAATCCTCTAAATATTTTTTCCTTTGAAAAAATAAAACTTTTGGCCAAGCATGGTGGCTCAATCCTATAATCCCAGCACTTTGGGAGACTGAGGCAAGAGGATTGCCTGAGCCCTCAGGTTCGAGACCAGCTTGGGCAACATGGTGAGACCTCGTCTCTACAATAAATAAAAAAATTAGCCAGGCATGGTAGTGCGTGCCTGTAGTTCCGGCTACTTGGAAGACTGAGGCGGAAGGATTGCAGGAGCCCAGCAGGTCAAGGCTGCAGTGGCCGTGAGTGTGCCATTACACTCCAGCCTGGGTGACAGAGTGAGACTCCGACTCAAAAAAGAAGACTTTCTCTTTCTTCTAGTCCATCCCATATTTAAGCAATCAGTTACCAAGACTCCAAAATTTGTAAGTTTGGGCAATATAGTGTAGAAGCTAGTGGGAAAAAAATCAGGTCAGGTATCTTAAATCTTTAAAAATGCCATACTTCCAAAATTATGTTTTAAAATGAGCATAATTTTAATATCTGTGATAATTTCTTTCTATGCACTTTATCTTGAAAGACTGAAAGCTTGTGAATTCCACATAGAGAGTGCATTGTACTTTCTTCAGGGTGATGTGAGGCAACCACTAAATATCACCCATGATAGGGCAGAAAGTGAAAAATATTTGTCATCTTAAGGTTTCATGAGGAAGATTATGAGTCGTCACTGTCGTCAGCAAAGTATGGTTTCTTTAGGTTACTACTGATGCTTCCCTTTTTGAAAAATATGCTGAAGGACTTAGTGGCGTTGTCTTAGCAACTGTCTACAACTTCTCCATTACCTTGTGTGCCTGTGAAAATACTACGAAGTACATGATTTTTTAAAACAGAGTTTGGGGGCCGGGCTCGGTGGCTCAGCCTGTAATCCCAGCACTTTGGGAGGCCGAGGTGAGTGGATTGCCTGAGCCCATGGGTTTGAGACCAGCCCGGGCAACTTGGTGAGACCTCGTCTCTACAATAATTCAAAAAATTAGCCGGGCACGCTCTTGTAGTTCCGGCTACTTGGAAGGCTGAGGCAGAAGGATCGCCAGAGCCTAGCAGGTCGAGGCTGCGGTGGCCGGGAAGGTGTCACTGCACTCCAGTCTGGGCAACAGAGTGAGACTTCAACTCAAAACAAAAAACAAAAAACAACAGAGTGGGGCCGGGCATGGTGGCTTACAACTATAATTCCAGCATTTAGGGAGGCTGAGACAAGAGGATTGCTTAAACCCAGGAGTACAAAACCAGCCTGGGCAACATAGCAAGCATCTCTACCAAAAATCAAAAAAATTAGCCAGGTATGGTGATGTGTGTCTGTAATCTTAGCTACTTGGGAGGCTGAGGTGGGTAAGGACCACCTGAACCCTGAAGGTTGAGGCTGTGGTGAGCTGTGATCATGTCGCTGCACTCCAGCCTGGGCGACAGAGTGAGACCCCAACTCACAAGATAAATAAATAAATGAGTAATAAAAATAAAAAACAGGCTGGACGTGGTGACTCATGCCTGTATTCCTAGCACTTTGGGAGACTAAGGCAGGAGGATTGCTTGAGGCCAATCTGAGTCTAGTCTGGGCAACAATATGAGGCCCTGTCTCTACAAAAAAATTTAAAAATTAGCACATGCCTATAATCTCAGCTATTCAGGAGACTAAAATGAGAGAATCACTTGAATCCAGGTGCTTGAGACTACAGTGAGCTATGATCACACCACTGCACTCCATCCTGGGTAACAGAGAACCTATCGTTTAAAAATAAAAAATTTAAAATGAAAAAAAACCCACAACAAATTATGGCTAAAGCCCAAAAGCTTTAGACAAAACTGCCACAAGTGTGATTTTTAATTTCATCTTGAGAACGAAATACCTATCCTGCCATGATTGCAATGTGACAATATACTGGCAGTGAAGGGCAGGTGGGGGAGGTGGTGGGATGACTGCAGGCCAAATATTTCCCTGGGTAAAATGAAACTCTTAACGGAAACTGAAAGTTAATTTAAACAGCAATAGTGTGTTGGCACTAAACTGTTTGGAAACTAGAGCAGAGGATCACCTATAATTCTGCCTATGTCAGCGACCAGAGAAAATGAAGGATGAGGGATGGAAGGAGGGGAAGAAGGCTCAAGTCTGATACTGCCTTTAATTTTAAAATACTGTCACAGCCTTAGGTAATGGGGGCAGGATGTCGAAGGCTCCTAAGGGCCTAAATTTATTAAAGGAGCCTGTCAAGAAAGGCTCTAAGAATGGGAAAGTCCGGGACAGCCACTTCAGGGAATGGCAGAAGGGGTGGGCTGGGGCATGGTGGACATACACTGGTGGTGACATCAGTTAGTGCAGCCACCATGACTTTGCTTTAGCAGGGCTTTTTGTTTGCAGAGTGGGACGCTGAAGTAGGTATTGAGGCAAAAATCAGTAGTCATCTCCTCAGATGTTCGAGTTACTGTGATGATGGCAGTGGTGGGATCGATGGGGCTGTGAGCCATGTCCCAGTCTTCAGAAGATGAGGAGTGACGCTGTAATGATGCTGCTCTTGTTTGTAAGTTAACAGGCTTGCGTAAGCCAACTCGGAGAGAAGCTGGTTGTTCACATACACTTGAGGACTGGGATTGGAAAGGAGTCAGCAACTGACTTGGCAATTCTTGGTGTTCTTTGGGTTCCTGCTTCTCTCTGTAGTTTTACTTTTTCACTGTTCATTACCAGCTTTGCTCTATATCTTTTCTTCCTCATAGCTTCTGCTTAATTGTCATTATTTTTCTTATACTTTCTGCTTCTTCACAACTACACACAATCATCTTCCTTCACCTTATACAGTCTTTAAAATTTATTTATTTATTATTATTTTATTTATTTATTTATTGGAGTGGAGTCTCACTCCGTTGCCCAGGCCAGCAATGGCACACTCACAGCCACCGCAGCCTCGACCTGCTGGGCTCCGGTGATCCTTCCTCCTCAGCCTTCCAAGTAGCTGGAACTACAGGCATGCGCTACCACGTCTGACTTATTTTTTTTATTTATTGAGAGATGAGGTCTCACCAAATTTCCCAGGCGGGTCTCAGGCAGTCCTCTCGCCTCGGCCTTCCAAAGTGCTGGGATTGCAGCCTTGAGCCACCACACCTGGCCATTATGATTATTTTTGATAGAGACAAGCTCTCGTTATGTTTCCCAGGCTGCTCTTAAACTCCTGGGCTCAAGTGAGCCTCCTGCCTGAGCCTTCCAAAGTGCTAGGATTACAGGTGTGAGTCACGACACCCAGTCTTATGTAGTCTTTTAGCTTTAGCTCCCCCATTGACAGAGTCTTTTTCTTAGTGTTTCCTAGTTTTGGTTTCGGGGGAGGAACTCTGATCGGGCCACCTTGTCCTTTTATTCTTTGGTTTGACTTTAGGTCAGTTTTGTTCACCTTCTACAGTTGTGGTAGCAGTGGGACTAGAGCATGAAACATGGCAGCTTTAGACAACAGGCCTAAGGATTCAAGCTATTTTCTTAGAAGGGGATGAGGCCAGCAGGTACTATGATTGCCATCTCTAACTTTGTGAGTGATGGGGATGTCTGAATGGTGGAAGGGGTAAGAGAGAGATGATGCCTATGCTGATGTCAGCCTAAAGCAAACATAAGGAAGGGGAAATGTCTCCTAACACTAAAATCGTCCAACTTAAAGTGGTCATGTGAAGTTAGCACAGCATTCTCTGATTCCTGTGATGTGGAAACCTGAGAACCCTTTGCTGAATAGCTATAACTGAAGCCATTTGCCCGGCACAGAGCCAAGTTTGTTATAGAAACCGCAAAATTGGGCAGGGGGGGTGGCTCATGCCTGTAATCCTAGCACTTTGGGAGGCCAAGGTGAGAGTATTGCCTGAGCCCATGGTTTCGAGATCAGCCTGGACAACTTGGTGAGACCTCATCTCTACAATAAGTCAAAAATTAGCCAGGAGTGGTGGCGCATGCCTGTAGTTCCAGCTATTTGGAAGGCTGAGGTGAAAGGATCACCTGAGCCCAGCAAGTTGAGGCTGCGGTGACCATGAGCATGCCACTGCACTCTAGCCTGGGTGACAGAGTGAGAGACTCCAAGTCAAAAAAAAAAAGAAAAGAAATAAACCACATAATAAGTGGAGGGAACTCCTTGGAAGAGGCTAAAGGTAGTTTATTTATAATAGAAGAAGAGTTGAGAAGGCACAATTATGAAGAAAATCCATAATAGTGTGAAGGGTATAGGTAAGGAATAATAAAATAATTGTGGTGGCAGCGAACTAAGAATATTTACTGTCCTAAGTTCTTTATGTATATCATCTCATTTAATTCTCAATAACTCCACAAGGTAGAAGATGCTCCTATCATCCCATTCTGAAGATGAGGAAACTGAGATTTAGAGCTACTAAATCCCTTGCCAATCTCACACAGCTAGTGAGTAGCAGAATTGGTTGAGGAATCCAGGCATTCTGAGTCTAAAGTCCAGGCTCTTAACCATTCCACCATACTGCCTCACGGTATAACATCAAATATTATGGCGGTGGGAATACACAATAAGTGCCAGAGGAGCTTGAATTTAGAGTCAAGGACAAGAGGAAGCATTTTGGCATTAACAGTCCTACAAATCTCCATCAGATTTGACTGAGATCCCAGTGGTGACAAGGGCCTTGGGCAGGGAGTCTGTGTCCTGGGCAGGAAACAGCTAATTTTGCTTGGGACACCAAACCAGAACTTTACTGAGTCCTGGTATAACCTAGTTGGTTGATAGTTCTGGGGAGGCTCACTCAATGGGCTTGGCAGTAACAGACTGAAGGTGTGACTGGAGGCTGTCTGCCATGATGAAATGTTTCCAGGCCTGTAAAATGGTCTTTCCTACTGGACCATCCCAAAGGCCTTAGCCTTCTAAGTAGCTGGATTACTTGCTTGGACTGACATAGGGACATTATAACCTACAAATAAATTTCCTATAGTATTTATTTCCCTTCAAATTGACCTATTATTAACAGTAAATTATGTTCATAGTTATTTGTACAAAAGTGATTTCAGGCCAGACATGCCAATATTTTAGTATATTGGAAAAGTCATTTTTATGCAGGAAAAGCATAGCATACTACTAGGGATTAATTGAATTGGCATTATATCACCTGATATACACTAGCTATACTATATAAATCAGGTTTTATGGATTAAAATCGCCAAAAGGTGTTAATAAGTTTGAAAAATTATCAAAATAAAATTGCAGTAAGAGAGAAATCATAGTTACAGTAAAGATAAGATGTAATGTAGACTTTCTTAAGTAATTAGGAAAAGTATGATTAGTTCATTTATTCACCAAATGTGTATTGCTCCCCTATGGGGAACCAGATATGGTGGTAAGCACCAGAGATGCATTGTAAATGCATTGGTTAAGGTTCTACATGTGGCACTAAGTGCAGCAGGGAAGGTGGAGGGTTTTTTTTTTTGTTTTTTGTTTTTGTTTTGAGTGGAGTCTTACTCTGTTGCCCAGGCTAGAGTGCAGTGGCACACTCATGCCTACCGCAGCCTCGACCTGTTGGGCTCAGGCCAATTCTTCCACCTCAGGCCTTCCAAGTAGCTGGAACTATAGGTGCGCGCTACCACGCCTGGCTTATTTTTTGATTTATTGTAGAGATGAGGTCTCCCCAAGTTGCCCAGGCTGGTCTCGAACCTCTGAGGTCAAGCAATCCTCTCATCTCACCCTCCCAAAATGCTGGCATTTCAAGCTTGAGCCAACACCCCCAGCCTAGAAGGTGGAGTTTTAACAAACAGTCACATAAATATATGTGATTATAAACTGTGGTGCATGATATGGTGGGAAATTACAGGGTTCCATAAAAAATGTAATGAGAGACCTGATCTAGTCCCTGGAGTCTGAAGTTTTCCCTGAAGAAGCTGAGCCAAGATTTGGAGGGGCTGTAGGAATTAATTAGGAGAAAGGATGGTAGAAAGTTTTCCAGGTGAAGAGATGATAAGTCCAGGCCCCAAAGAAAGAAGGTTATTTTTTGGGGAACTGTAATGTCCTGACAGCACTAGATGTCCTTGTCATAACCATGTCAGTCTGTTGGAGCTATTCTTCTGTTTCTTTGTGGGAGTGCAAGCTTCGGCAGCGATCATAGTTTTTCATTTTATATTTCAGAATTGTCTTGCATTTCTGGGAATACAAAGATGAATACAAACTTCATCTGATTAATACATATTTCCACCTTAAGATTTTGACCCTTTTGAAAATATATGTTAGGCTGGATCATTTCTGTAATTAGGCAGTAAGACAATTAAGCTAAGATAGAAGAATGTAGTTTTGTTTTTGTTTTTTTTGAGTTGGAGTCTCACTCCTTCACCCAGGCTGGAATGCAGTGGCATGCACGCTCATGGCCGCTCCAGCGTCGACCTTCTGGGCTCCAGCAATTCTTCCACCTCAGCCTTCCGAGTTGCCAAAACTACAGACACGCACACCATACCCGGCTACTTTTTATTTTATTGTAGAGATGAGGTCTTGCCAGGTTGCTCAGGCTAGTCTCGAACCCGCGAGGTGAGGCAGTCCACTCGCGTTGGCCTCCCAAAGTGTTGGGATTACAGGCTGAACCACTGAACCTGGCCAGAAGAGTGTAGTTTTAATGTCTGACAGTATATTTGGTGCAAGTTAATTTGGTGCAAGTCACTGAAAAGCATATTTTTGCATTATAGTTTTTTAAATTTTAAGTCAAATTTATATCCTCAGCCATACTACATAGTTAACAATTTCAGTTTAAAAATTTTACAGTTGGAGAAAGGGGAATTTCTGTGACGGCTTTTCATTTTCCACATTTATAAAGCAAGGCATTTAATAATTTGTTACTTATGCTTCAGTCTTTCCTCTTGGTATGAGCTTAGACAGAAGGTCTAGCTAAGTACAATAATTGTGACTCAATCTTGTTTGAGTGCTCTTAAAAAGTTATTGCAATATTTAGCACAATCTTTGGGCTATCTTTTACTTTTAAATTATTTAACCCTAGATAAGCATTATTTTCTTCTGCTGTGGCTATGTTTTCAGTGTGTAGTTTTCCTCAAACCTATAGATGTAATTAGAACAACAATAATAGATTCTTATCATCTCTCACTTTAGGCTCCATTAAATGACCCCTGTGCATGTGCCTCTTTTATGGGTTTGAAGACTTCCACCAGTAAATACCATCTTGTACGAGCAATATTGGAGTCAATAGCTTTCAGGTATGAAAACCTGCTCTTATATATGATGTAATATGTTCTTCTTGCTAATTACCTTGGTATCTCTTATTTTTTTCTCATATTTAATAGTACCAGTACTACTTAGATTTGATTTCTGAAAATTGAATGATTTTTAAAAAATATCCAATTTCTTAAGCATGTAAAGATTCAGAATTTCATTTTTCAAGGGTGTAGTGTCGTTAGTCATGAAGCAGAACTCATTAATAATGCTTCTGTTATACCCAAAGATTGAGTCATAAGAATTATTCTTCATGCGTATTTCCTGTGGTCTTTTTGTTATGGTACAAGCGTAGGTTATTAAAATTAAGAATGTGGCTATTATGAATATGGAATATTTGTAATGTTTAAAGTACAATTTTCTGTGATTCCAAAGTGATTAATTTTATATTTGATAGACTTTATTAGAGTTATTTATGGTGTGCCATCTTAATAGCTTTCTATTAGATAGATACTTGCTTTAGATTTTTCTTTTTAGAATGGTAATAGATGAAATTTAGTTGTAAAATAAAAATTATACTCTCTTGTATGAAGGTGAAAAACACAAGGCACCCGAGGTTCTTTTTTTTTTTTTTTTTTAATTTTTAGATTCAGGAGGTACACATGCATGTTTGTTACATGGGCAAAATGTGTAGTGATGGGAATTAGTCTCAGGTGGCCCATTCCCCAGATAATGTCCTATAGGTAGTTTCTGAACCCTAACCTTCTACCCCTTATTGGTGTCCCCAGTGTCTATTATTTCCATTTTTGTGACCGTTTAGCTCCCACATATGAGTGACAACATGCAGTGTTTGGTTTCTGTTTCTGAGTCAGTTTACTTAGAGTGATGATCTTCAGCTCCATCCATGTTGCTGCGAAGGACATGATTTCTTTCTTTTTTTTTTTTTTTGGAGTAGGAATCTTATTCTGTCACCCAGGCTGGAGTGCAGTGGCACACTCACGGCCACCAAATCCTCAACCTGCTGGGCTCAGGCGATCCTTCCACCTTAGCCTTCCAAGTAGCTGGAACTACAGGTGCATGCCACCACGCCCAGCTAATTTTTTGATTTATTGTAGAGACGAGGTCTTGCCAAGTTGCCCAGGTTGGTCTCAAAGCCCTGGGTTCAGGCAGTCCTTTCATCTTGGCCTCCCAAAGTACTGGGATTACAGGCCGAGCCACCGTGCCCGGCAATTTCATTTTTTTTTTAATGGCTGCAGACCTGAGCTTTTTGCTCAATTGAGCATCTGTTATACGATTTCTAGTTAGCACGGTATATTTATGTAGTATTTTCTTTTGCATATTATATAAATCTCAAGTAAATAAAGCAATAGTTTTTATTTTTCAAGATCAGAATAAAATAGAAAACTATTATGATATGTATTTTTTCTAAATGGTTATCTTGTTTCTTAACTAGAAACAAACAATTATACGAGATCATGCAGAAAGAGATTCATATTCCTGTAACAAAAATCAGGTATGTAAACTTTGTTTCTAATAGCTTTAATTCAAAATTAGAAATAAGTGGTAGCTCCTATTAGTATTTTCAGCATTATGATTATTCAGAATTTCAGAAAGAACTTATGCCTAGCTCCTTTGCAACAAAATCATTGATCATAGGAATTTGGAGACAAAAGGAAAGCTGATTATGAATTTATGGGGAATACAATACAATATGAAATTTGGGAACATCTTAGCGCCCATATGTGCATGAAGATGTAAATCTTTAAAATCTCTTTTTTGGGTGTGTAGCTATCTTCTTAGCATGGAAACATTAAATTTCTTGACTTTCTTTTCTGTACTATCCAAACAAATTTTTATGTTGCCTTAGTTTATTGTACTTGTCCTGTTTTGAACTAGTCCCAAGACAAACAGGACAGGTGGGAAAACTGATGGCAGGAAAAGGAAATGTTTAAAGATAGCCCAATAAGGTCTTCTGTTATTAGGTTAATGCTAAGTGATATAATTATAGAATTAAAGTGTTAAACTTATAAAAGCAAGGATTTAAGAAAAACATATGTGGCCCACTTAAAAAGACTTAATGATACTTTTATTGTAATAATTTATCTCACATATTTTGCTTCCCACAGGGCAGATGGAGGAGTTTGTAATAACAGTTTTGTCATGCAGATGACTTCAGACTTGATTAATGAGAATATAGACAGACCTGCCCACGTTGACATGTCATGCCTAGGTGCGGCTTCTCTAGCTGGCCTTGCTGTTGGTATGTGTGAAATTGATAAAAACGAGAGCTTTCTGAAAAACTGTTTTTTACAGATCGCGTTTATGCTCTTAAATCACAAGATTCTAGAGAGGGTCTGTTAAGCCTTGGTGTCCATTAAGCTCCATACACACATGCATATTGTTCACAAAATACCCTGTGACCTCTATTACAGTGTCTGGTTGAACCTCTTCCATCTTTACTTCACGCCTTCTGTCAGAAGTATGAGACAATGACAGTTAATTCTCAGCTGCTTTGGTCTCTAGCAAGGGAGAGTCTCTGAGTAAACTTTCTGGATAGTGTTAAGGAGAAAAATATTCAATGACATTTATTAAAGAACAGTAAGGCAGACCTTATTCAGAGGCACTATCAAGAAAGGTGTGGGGTCTACTTCAACAGGATGTTGTAGTGGGGAAAGAAAGATTAGGCTCAACTTCGAATACAACAGGGAAAAGTGGGAATTTATAGCCAAGGAGCAACATGAGGGTCAGTAGTTGGAAAATTTCTAAGACGAAACATTGGGGCAAGGGGAAATCCTGGCAAAACCATCCAGGATTCCTGCTAAAGGCAGGCTAGAGTGCTCAGACATCATGTGGGAGATGGCAGAGGATGAGATCTCGAGGGTGATCAGATACTGAAGATGGGAATCCTGGCTAAACTGACAGGAGAATTCTTGCTGAAATTAGATAGGGCAGAGATGAATATGGAAGTTCAAAAGTTGAGTCCTGCTTGAAAAAAAGCTGAGTGCCTGAGTAGAGTTCAGTCAAGGAGAGAATCTTTGTCAATAGGCATGCCTTTGGCATTAGAAACCACCCCATTCTTTTATTTATTGGACAACAGCTGTTGAGCACCTGCTACATGGCAGTCCTGCTGGGAATAAAGAGGCTAAAAGCCATAGTCTCTGATCTCTGGTAGGAGCAGACAGATGCCAAGCGATTATTAAACTTGTTTGAGAACCCATGAACGACAGTATTAAGCAAATGGTGGAGGCTTCTCAGAGGAGAGCACAGATGGTTCAGCTTTGAAGGGGTTCACAGACAGCAGGTCCGAGGAGAGGGCAAGAGATGAGTGGTTTGGTAGCGAAAGCAGCTTGTGCAAAGTCCTGGGCCCGCTGTGGGAAGTGCTGCCATGGTGAGAGCAAGAGGGGAGGCTGGAGAGGTACACAGAGGTTCAGTCGTGGTTGACTGCTCAGGAAGAGGAGCTTGGGCTTGATCCTGAAGGCATTAGAGGGTCACTGAAGAATTTCGAGCAGAATAGGGACGTGGAAAGTTCTATATTCAAGCAGATCACTTTGACAGTTAGTGAAAGGACTAGTGCGGAGGGAATCAAGAATGGAAGTGGGATTGTCAGTTAAAGGGTTTCCTCGAAGGCGGGATGATGCCTTGAGACACTAGGAGAATTTCGATATATTTCTGTGTGGGGGGCTGCAGGATAGGATATTTTACATTTAATAGTTTGGGGCTAATATTTAGCTCATAAAAGTCACAAATCTAAAAAGCATGAAATCTTGGTAAATTCACTTAAACTTTATTCTACTAAAAGTCTGGTAATTTTCAATAAAATGAATCACTTTCGTTTGTTCCTTGATGAATGTTTGATTAATTCTAGTTGAAGGAAATAAACTTTCCCTTAAATAATCAGGAAATAAAATTACCCTTAAAAAATCATTCCTTTGTATATTCCAACTCCTGTAAATGTAATACAGCTGATTTTCTTTTCTTAATAATTTCTGATTCCCTATTGAGCAAACTTAGAACTCTAACAAGGAAAATCTTCTAAAATACTTAAACAACTCTTGCAAATTAAATAAACTAAGCTATAATTATTGTAAATCAACTGGGCACAATGGCTTATTACTGTAATCCTAGCACTTTGGGAGGCCAAGGCGAGAAGATTGCTTGAGTCCAGGAGTTTGAGACCAGCCTGGGCAACATGGCAAGACTACGTCTCTACAATAAATCAAAAAATTAGCCAGGCTTGGTGGTGCACGCCTGTAGTCCCAGCTACTCTGGGACCTGGAGCAGAAGCATTGCCTGAGTCTAGCAGGTCGAGGCTGTGGTAGCTGTGATTGTGCCACTGCAGTCCAGCCTGGGCTACAGAGTGAGACTCTGGCTCAAAAAAAGAAAAGAAAAAGAATGAGCCGGGCTCGGTGGCTCAGCCTGTAATCCCGTGCCTTTGGGAGGCTGAGGTGAGTGGATTGCCTGAGCCCGCGGGTTCGAGACCTGCCTGGGCAGCGAGACCTCATCTCTACAATAAATAAAAAAATCAGCCGAGTGTGGTAGCGCATGCCTGTAATTCCGGCTACTTGGAAGGCTGAGGCAGAAGGATCGCCAGAGCCCAGCAGGTCGAGGCTGCGGTGGCCGGGAGCGGCCACTGCACTCCAGTCTGGGCGACAGAGTGAGACTCCAACTCAAAAAAAAAAAAAAGAAAAGAAAAGAAAATGAATGATAGGAAGTCTAGTTCTTATAAGGATTCTAATATTTATAATGTTAACTAAATTATTCTGCACTTTTACCTTATGAGACTAAATATGTCAGATTCTCTTGAAGATTTAAAATATTTTAAATAACACATGCAGATTATTTTTATATATAACACAGTGGTTTGAGTTTTATCTATATCATTATATTTATATTTAATTTCAAACCTTTGCTTCCCTCTCTGAAATTTGAGACCTGAAGATTAATTTATGTCTTTCATATTTTCTAGATTTACCCAGAAACTGGGTTTATTCTTTTCCTTTTTTTAAAAAAATTTTATTTGAGTAGGAGTCTTACCCTGTCACTCAGGCTGGAGTACAGTGGAGTGCTTACAGCTACCGAGGCCTCAACCTGCTGGGCTCCTGCCTCAGCCTTCTAAGTAGCTGGAACCACAGGCGTGCACCACCACATCCAGCTAATTTTTTTATTTATTGTAGAGACAAGATCTTGCCAAGTTGCCTAGGTTGGTCTCGAACCCTGGCCTCAGGCAGTCCTCTCGCCTCTGCCTCCCAAAGTACTGGTATTACAGGTGTGCACCACTGCATCCAGCCGGTTTGTTCTAGATATATTTAATAAAATGACGTAAAATGTAAATAATACATTCTGGAAGTAAGGTTTTTAGGAAACACTTGTTTTCATGACTAGATTTATCTACCTGTAGTATACTGATGAAAACTATTTTTAGTCTTTTAAATATTTCAATACATTATTAATACCTTTAAACAGATAGCCTAAAGTGTTCACTTTGTAAATATAAAGAAGGTGGTCTGGCAGAAAATTTTAGGAAAAATAATTTTATATGTCAGTTTTATTGACAAGAGAAAATGGACTTCACAAGTTTTTGTAGACTGGGGGTACTTCAGAATAGGTGGAATAGACCTCTCAGAAGGTGAGATGTGCCCAGCTTATTACCAAGACACCTATAACATTTCAGGCTACTTACGATCATCGTTATCAGTTTTCGATTACTGCTTTTTAGTATAAATCATGTGATCCTCTTTGCAAAGAGCAATATATGCTAGAACTTTTGGGTTGATGTTCAAGTTTGTAGTGTTTTTTGACTAGCCCAAATGTTGCACGATGGTTGAGTGGTCACTGTTCATCACATCGACTGACATGGATCATCATGGATTAAAGTATTTAAACAGATGGTCTTCCTTCCTGAACGTGGGGAATCACTCAGGTCAACGTGGTCCTCTTTGAAACGACAAAACCATGTTCTTGCTGTGCTTTCCCCGATGGCATTCTCCCTGAACATGGCACGAAGGTTTTGAGCTGCCTCTGCTGCCTTTAGTCCTCTGTTAAATTCAAACAGAAGAAAAGTTGAAAGTGTTTTTTTTCCATTTGGCACTCCATCTTCTTTAGGCCACAAATAGCACTGACTTTCTTCAGATCTGCAAAATGCAAGGCGTACTCACAAGCACAACATTGTCGCTCCAAATGCAAATGAAAAACAGTAAACTCTCAACAACAGTGTTGCTATGTCAAAAACAAATGCTATGAATTTATGCATCAACCTAATACAATATTATCTTGAACTGGAATTCAAATAACTTGTATGAAATGCTGTAGTTTGAAAAAGAAACAATTATATTAATTCCCAACTTTGAATTTTATGCATATCCCAGGGAGTTGCTATTTACCTCAAGATGTATGACAGATATCTTAATTTATCTTCATTTATTTTAATTATTTAAAAAGAAAATATATATTTTTTTAGAATATATACTTTTTACTTGGGATTTTTTTTAAATAGCAAGTCAAGAAATTGAATGATGGCAGAGTGTAGCTGCTTTAGAAGTGATGTGGTGACCTGCCACACAGAAATAAAGCTGAAAGTTAGAGTCCAAAAGATTTTAAAATATTTTATTATTTATTTATTTATTAATCCTGATCATTCTGACAAAATTCAAAAGTAACAGAGTATTTTGGATTGTGTTTTAAAACAATAATTGTTCACCTTTGTGCAACCAACTCACAAATGTTTGTGGATAGACTTTATGGACTCATGATATACTTTAAATTTGAGAATAATTGTTTTCATCTATAGGGTTTTGGACTGACAAGGAAGAACTAAAGAAACTGAGGCGAAGTGAAATGGTTTTCAAGCCACAGAAAAAATGTCAAGATTATGAAATGAGTATGGAAAATTGGGTCAAAGCTGTGAAACGCTCCATGAATTGGTATAACGAGATGTAACACAGTGAAATCATTAAGACCATAGATGGCTGGCTTATATGACGTGTGGAGGAGACACAGCTCAGGGATAACCAATTCAGTGACGAGTGAAAATTTAAAATGAACTTCACAACCTAAGAGAAACAGCATTCTTTTTACAAAAACGAACAAAAAACGATTACTTTTCCTGCACCTTGGTAAGATTGTAAGGCAGCAATACCTCAAAACTGTATATTCTGTTTTGTAGCAAATTCCAAAGGACATTAGCTATTTCCAACATATTTTGAAGTTATAGGTCCTCTTCCTTTTTATACTGGGCCAGTGGTACATAGGAATATGTGATTTACCATCCGAGCTAATAGTTCTGGGTCAAGTACCATTTACCTATTGTTTCAAAATTATGTGAGAAATATAAATTCTTTAAAATTAAGTGGGCTACTTGAAATCCATATAATTAAAAAGAAAGAATAACTGATAAAATGTAGAATTTTGTACCATGAATATTTTATGTTTAAAGCCATAATTTTTCAATGTCATATCCAAATATGAGCTCAATATGTCCCTCTCAGATAAACTTATTAGTCAGTGCTTTCCTTTATTGGTCTTAAAGACACTCCCTTACTTCTTTCCTTGTTCATCCAAAATCTGTGCATTCTTTCCATGTTGAAAAACACTGAAAAACTAATTGTAGTTAATGAACTAAAAAGGATATTGAGATTTAAGGAACAGAATACTACTATTTATTTTCCTTGTCAAATTGCACTTCTTTCAAAAACTTCTGGCTAAAGGGTAACATCCTCTTTTTTACAAAATACAGGTAATTAACATAAATCTTGCCTTCTGTTCTTTATCTTTCTTAGTTGTTGAGATACTTACACAAATGTCTTTTGTTTTATTAAGTGCCTAATCGACAGCTTCATTTGAAGAAAGGGCCCTAATTTATTGGTAACTGAAGATTTGTCTTTATCGGGAGTGTTTTATTTGTTCTGCATCTTTTTGATGTTTGTCCAGTCTGCCATTTCTCTGGGATGTGTGCAGTGGATAGCTGATAGAGGTGATGAGTCCATGCTAATAATGGATTGCCTTACAGCCACTGAGCCAGAGAGCCAGAGAAGAGCAGGGACGGCCCCACTTCTCAGACCTTCTTGCAAGAAGCAGTGTGGAGGAATCAGAGTTGTGAGAAGCGCCACCTGGGTACAGAATTGTCCTAAGGCAATTGACCACCTTCCAACCTGTTTTCATTTTATTTGTCTCTCCCTACATTTGGGGTAGGTTCCATGTGGATTTGCAGCAATAATGGATTTATTTCCCTCTTGGTCAGGATTTATTACATAAAGTCTTTCTGCTATAGTTATAAAGAGTGTAACTAAAGGAGAGACTGTTAGAGAGAATTTTGTTGTTGCTTCATATGTGTTCATTTCAGAGACAGATATAATAGAACTAGAAATTAAATTGCATTTCTGCACATTCCATTTCAGTGAACCTTAAGTGTCTTAAATTATTTAAAATTTTTGATGAAGGCATTGTAGCAAACAGTATCTTTGACTCTACTAAGATTTGGAAATATTTTTGTTAAATAGAGATGTTTTATTTACTGTAAAAAGTCAAATCTCATTATGTAGATAATATTCTTTTTATTCTTTCTCCTTTTTATATCCTTTCTAGAAAAATATTTCACTAAGCTTTCTAGAAAGCTTAGAAAACCTAGTGACCAATTAAAGACGTTGATACAGCCGGGCTCGGTGGCTCAGCCTGTAATCCCGTGCTTTGGGAGGCTGTGGTGAGTGGATTGCCTGAGCCTGCGGGTTCGAGACCCGCCTGGGCAACTTGGCAAAACCTCATCTCTACAATAAATCAAAAAATTAGCCGGGCATGGTAGGTGCCTGTAGTTCCAGCTACTTGGAAGGCTGAGGCGGAAGGATCGCCGGAGCCCAGCAGGTCGAGGCTGCAGTGGCCGGGAGCGGCCACTCCACTCCAGTCTGGGCGACAGAGTGAGACTCCAACTCAAAAACAAAAAACAAAAGCAAAGACTTTGATACAAAGTCATATGAAAGCTGCTCTGTTGTTTTGCTGTTTCTTAGAGTTTCTCAATGGGTGTAATTTTGCAAGAAATAATCCTACCTTTTGTTAGGCTATGCTGAATTATAAAGTTAGTAATATCTAAAAACTTGTTAGTTCATTTCTTTTTCACATTCTTCTTTCTCAATATATAGCCACAAAATAAAGATCTTTTAGATAATGTTGGAAAATAACTTTGAATCTCTCTCACTGAGCATCTTCTCAGTAATCAGTAACTATTTTTCTTCTGTGAATCTAAAATCTAATCTTTTATTTTGAATATTTCTTGCCATTTTTAGTGGCATAGCTTAGTAAATCTTCTGTCAGATATAACCAAAATCAGAAACAGGAACTCGTTTACTTTTGTAGTTGTAGAAGCAGTTGATAATCAAAATCAATTGAGCAAAAAAATTGTCCTTTCTATCTTTAAGGTTTATTTTTCATATGTATGCTAAAATTTGACATTTAAAAAATCTGTGCTACTATTTCACAGCATGCTTTATTTTCCCATTACGGATCTATCATATATTTTTAGGAGGTCTCTAGCTGCCTCATCAAGGAGGAGAATGTTCCCATACAGTTCATCTTAAAGTGATACTAATTGCTTCTATACTGTAGACTTACTGATTTTTAAATCTTTTAAAGCCAACTGTGATGTGGTTTCTCAATCTCAGAATTGATGTTTTGGACTGGTTAATTCTTTATTTTGAGGTACTATGCTGTACATTGGAGGATGTTTAGCAGCATCCCTGACCTCTACCCTCTAGCTACCAGTAGCGTCCCTTTAGTCTTTATGGCCAACAATATCTTCAAACATTGCCATTCTGGGGGGTAAAATGCTCCCTAGCTGAGAACCACTGATAAAGCCTGTTGGAAAAAAATTGAAGACTCAGTGAATATTGTGTCATATTCCTTTTCTTTCTGCCTCATTTTACCTTAGGAAATGGTTGCTGGTAAAAAGTGGTGGTAGTATCTTAAATAGGATTTCTACTTTGCTGATCAGTGAGGGTGAAAAAAAACTCACGATTGTCTTGTTTTTATTTACCCTTCCCTACCTCTATAATCTCTGTGGTCTTATTTACTGTAGTAGGTCCATGACTTCAGTCTAGGATTAATGCATTCTGCAGAACATCTTTGATTTGATCTGCTGTTTTGCTTCCTTTCCATCTCTGAAGAAAGATGATCACTTTTTAAAAAAAATCTGTCTTCTGTGCAAATCTCTACCAGACTGGAAACTCCCTGAAAGCAGAAACCATGTCTACTTCCCCAGAACTTAACATTGTGCTTTCATGTTTGTGGGTTGAATTTTATATTTGTAAATGCAACTTTGCTTGCATATGCCTTTTATCCTTGATGTTGCATACATTTGTTGACAGGTAGCAGTCAAGATGTTTCTGTTGGATAAAGAAGGACTACTTTGTAATGAGAGCTAGAATCCTCACATCGTTTACTTAAAATGCTTCATATGTTTATATATTTGCGAAGGTATTTGTATAGAGATGCACATCCATAAATACCCATAGTTACATTAACCCTTTTTCTTTTTTTTTGAGTCAGAGTCTCACTCTGTCGCCCATGCTGGAGTGCAGTGGCACACTGCTCACAGCCACTGCAGCTTCTTCCTGCTGGGCTCAGGCAATTCTTCCGCCTTAGCCTTCCAAGTAACTGGAATTACAGATGCGCGCGACCATGTCCAGTTAATTTTTCTTGATTTACTGTAGAGATGAGGTCTCACCAAGTTGCCCAGGCTGGTCTCGAACCCCTGGGCTCAGGCATTCCTCTCACCTCCACCTCCCAAAGTGCTGGGATTATAGGCGTGAGCCTCCGTGCCTGGCCAACTTTTTAAGGTGTCATTGAAGCCTTTCTTGTCACAGGTTTCATATATTTGACTGCAGATGGTTAACAGATTGGATCTCTTAGGAGTGCCAAACACTTGTAACAGGAAGGAATTTCAGAAGTAGCTCCTTCTGCAACAGACTTAGACTGGGGACCAGTCTTTAATCGAAAATATTGGAGTCTGGCAAGAATTTTGTAATTCTCTGAGAGGCCATATAGCTGTACTCTGGAGTTCTTCAACTTTAAGTGATTCTAGAGTCATCCCAGAGATTGCCCAGAAGGCTTGAATCCACCCTAAAGGATTCAGGATCTCTTTTGGGAAATAAGAGTTAAAAATCCCAAATACACCTTGGACCGTTGCGATCTACCTGGCCTCAGAATCTTCTTGCATACCCAAAGCCAGGTCATCTGGTTCAAACCAGCCAAAATGGCTAACCTCAAAAAAATGAAATAGGTGCTTCTAAATCATGTTGACTTTTTTAAGTTTTGGAGTTTTATAGCCATATGCATTTGCACCAGCATCTATTTTAAATCACTGGCTATAGTGTCACCATATTCCCATGGGACTCGTGTTTCTAGAGGAATGCACGAATGATCTTGGGGATGGGAAGGATAGAGACAGGTGCCTGCCAAATGAGATATTTCTGAAATTCTATGTTATTCTATTTCTACTGTCTTTTCCCCATTTACTGTAAATCTGGTCTATTATAAAATGGCTGTGTCTATACAGATATCTGTATTGTTTAGGAAAAAGACACAAGGACTCCAGATTAAATGAGCCTTATCTTGATAAGACACTCCCAAACTCTTTTCCAGAGTGACTGTACTAATTTACATTGCCACCAGCAATGTATGAGTGATCTAGTTTCTCCACATGCTCACCAGCATTTGGTGTCACTATTTTTTATTTTAGCCGTTCTGATGACTGTGTAGTGATGTCTCTTGTGGTTTTAATTTGCATTTCCCTAGTTGATAATGATGTCGAACATCTTTTCATGTGCTTTTTGTTTGCCATCTGTTTAGCCTCTTCAGTGAAATTTTCTGTTCACATTTTTTTGCCCACTTACTAATTGGATTGTTTGCTAAATGAGCCATATCTAAATATTTTTTAAAGTTTTTTTTTTTAAATCAGTCCAATGATGTAAGTTGTTAGGGAGGACTTTTCAGATCCTTCTAGGCAAAATGTATATATATAGCATTTGAAACATGATTTTACAATGTACTGAGCACAAGAGTTCTCATATTCCTTCTCTGCTTATTACAGAGTGTGATATGAATACTATGTAATAGCAAAAAATTTCAAAGATACCTTTGCTTAGAATGTTATGTAGGGTGTACAGATATATACTTTGTATATAGTTATAATGTTTCTAACATTTTCTTTAAAATGAGCTAATTTGTGTAAATGTTTCAGAATGATTTTTGTGGAAAATGAATTAGAAACTTTCCTATTTGTGCAAGATAGTGGATACAGATTCCAGTTCATATGCCTCAGTAAACTCATAATCTTATTTCTTCTATGTTCTTAATGAATTTCATAGTTATATTAGTCATTGAGAACCTTATAAATCATTGTTAAGATCTACAGATGAAATCAAGGATGCTGAGCCATAGAAATATTTGTCACATGCATTTGAATTTTTCCTTTACCTTTTTGTCTACTTTAACTTTTAGATTTAAAAAAATGTTACCTTGACATTCTGTTGAATACTATTTCCTGTTTTGGTTTCTGCACATTAAGAAAGTCACAGAGAAGCTGGGTGTGATGGCACATACCTACAGTCCCAGCTACTCAAGAGTCTGAGATGGAGGGATCATTCAAGCCCAGAGTTCAAGGCCAGCCTGGGCAATGAGCAAGAGCCCACTTCCAAAAAAAAAAAAAAGGACCAGATGTTGGCTCATGCCTGTAATTCCAGCACTTTGAGAGAAGGAGGCAAGAGGACTGCCTGAGCTCCAGGGGCTTGAAACTAGCCTGGGCAACTTGGTGAGACTTTGTCTCTATAATAAATAAAAAATTAGCCAGGCATAGTGGCACACACCTGTGGTTCCAGCTACTTGGAAAGCTGAGGTGGAAGGGTCACCAGACCCTAGGAGGTCAAGGCTGCAATGACTGTGAGGGTGCCACTGCACTCCAGCCTAGGTGACAGAGTGAGACTCTGACTCAAAAAAAGAAAATCACAGAAGAAATTGTATATGCATTTTGTTTTGTTGGAGTTAGAGTTGAGTTGGAGTCTCACTTCCAAGTAG